TGGTCCATACCCTTTGATTGAGAGTTTCCACTGATAGGTTTATACTCCAAGAAAGGTAAAGACAGAAAAGTTAGTTAGCTGAACTGACTTGTTACAAAAAATTGTTACAAGGAATAGCTAGCTCTCTGGGTAGGGGAGGGGAGAAGAATATATTTGGAAATAAAGGTGATATTAAAAAATAAATAAAATTTTTGAAAAATTAGTATGTGATTTTTTTGTTGTTGTTAGAAGCAATACTAGAGAAGAACTATAGGCATAGCCATTTAAGGATAACAATGTTATACATGAATTATCAATGTATATTAACAGATTATAATGTTTCACTATATAATTAAAGACTTTGGTTACAATGTATTAATGATATTATTTGTAAATCATATTGGTTAAAGCATGATTCGACTTTATATTGAAGGACTACACATAACTTTCCTTTCACATTTTGAAATGCCTCTTTTGATACTTAATGTAGGCATTTAAGGTTATAATTTGATTTGAGTAGTCATTCTACAATCTTGGATGTACCATGAATCCAACAAGTGCTCTTACTTAATATCAATGTGACCTTCAAAAAGTCCTTAACCTCTCTGGGTGGGTCTCAGTTTCCTGAGTTTCCATTTCAGTAGCCCAGATCACTGGCTCTTGCCCAAGGTATCTGGCCTACCCCAAACCACCTAGATCACTTAGTTAACTTACTTTACATTTCTTTCACTGCCTTGTCCCAGTGATGGGGTTGAGATCTGGGCCCCAGAAAGGAAAAACCCTGGACTTTCCTACAGGCCAAATCTCTAGCATCTGCCTGAGGCTATAATCCCATCAACTGGCTTTTCATTGTGGCTACACCCAATCTCCCCTCCATTGTTTTACTGTTCTGGCCAGTCCCATCCAGATCTCCGTAGGCCCCTCCTCCACCACCCCAAACTACTCGGCCACTCCTAGATCCCTCTCACAGGCTTTCTGTATATAAGGTCCATCTTGTCTCCATTAAGATGCTGCGATTCTTATATTCTAGCAAAGGCTCAGATTCTAGCCACTGGTCAGATTCTTATAATCTAGCCAATAGCTTACTAATGTTCAGACTTCTTAAGAGTCTGCCCAATATGATGGATGTTCCAATAAACCTTGTCTTTGGCTGAAAGAAGACTTGGGTCAAATTCTTTCAGGCAGGACCCGTGTGTTGTGATACTGGGGTCCCAGCCCCACTGAATCCCTAAACCGCATCACCACCCCAGATTACCTGCATATCTGCCCACTCCTTAATCCCATCTAGACCCTTTCACTGCTGCCCACTCCTTTTTTTGGTATATAAATATATGCTCACGAAGGCTCGGATTCCCTAAGAATCTGCCTGTTCCTTTAGGTGTTACAATAAACTCTGCCAGACTGGAAGATGGTTTGAGTGCATGCATTCATTGCTGGGGGACACCACCCTCTACCCTGACATTTTGGGATTCCCAGCAACCCCAAACTGCATCAAAAGTAGTACTAAAGGGTGACCTACTAATCACCTTACAAAACTCTTCTGTTTCACTACAATTTATTTTGCATTTCTGTCTACCTAGTCTGGAAAAGAAAGCATTGAAGTAAAATGCATCATGGTTCTATAAATATTTCATTTGCTGAGAAGAGGCTACAGAGAGAGAGGGAAGGAGATTCTTTAATTTGTTAGGATCATTAGCTGAGGGCTTGAGATAAAACAAAGACATTTTTGCTAATCTACTATTAAAGTTTCACAAAAGCAGGGATAAGATTAAATGAATCTGAATCAAAGTGCTCTTTCAGGAGAGAGGAAAGATAAATAAGTAAAAAATCTGAGTCAATTACCTTGGAGGCAAGTAGCCTTCAGCAACTCCCTTCCCCATTGTTTTCCAAAGCAGCTTAAAGAGGTCCTATACAAATATCTCAAAGAAGTAGAAAAAAAGAAGAGGACTATAGGAAAGCCTGAATGGAAAACCTGGGGAAGAGTGAGGTTAGGCCCCAAATGAGGTTAGGGGCCAAAGGGAAGGACTCTTCTTCAGATAAACAACTCCAAACCCCCAAATACTATTCATGTTTATATTATGACAATATTTTTATGTTTGAAAACATTTAATTAAATGAAGTTTTTTACCTTTTGAGGAAAAGGGAAGTTAATTCTAAGCACGTTTGGGGCTCCATAAAAATTTTCTGTTATAAATATCCTGCATTAGAGCATTCCTTTGATGTTTCCTTGTACCACAGAGGTGGGCCTTGATTCTTGAATGCCATGTTAAGCACAAGTGAAAAGCTTAGAAAGTCCTGCTAAGATGCTAGAAATACAGAGCACCAGCCAGGTTACATTCAGAGAGGCTTATCATCATATCAAATGCAAGAGGATGAATTTTTTGCCCACAACTCTTGAAAGAATAGCAGTGAAGGAATATCAGTGAAGAAATCATGTATACTAGCCAGTACTAATGCAGTTAGAAAGTAAAAAACATTCATTTTGGACTCAAATGGTTTTAACTAGAAGCTATGATTAACCTCACTCTCAGTTTTTAGATTTTTCAAAAGCAAAGAAAATTTTAAGTTCATTTTTAAAAACTTTTGTTTCCTTCTTTCTCCTGGATCTCACTTTAATGGGGTTAAAGGTGTGATACTAGTATCAACACAAATTTTGCCAGAGAGATTATCTGTTATGCCCCTGGAAACAATCGCCACACTTGAGAAGGAAAACACAGACTAAAAAAAAAATGATAGTAAAATCTAAATGTCTACTTGAATGCAAAAGTCTAAGGTCCACACAACACGGTTATGATGAGATGACACAAAAACACATGGCATTAATTTAAAAATAGTAGTTCAGTAAAACTGAATGACTAGCAGACAATGATAAATGATACTAAACAATAGACAAAATGGGGACTGGGCTGTGTCTATGAATTTTTGTGCCATTTAACAGCCCTAGGAGACTGTTTATAATTCAGGCTGGAAAAAAAAAAAAGATCCATGAGTTCTGAAGGACTTGGGAAATTGAGTACTAGGATGAAGGTCAAATATAATCTCCTAGAATCATTCTGAATTCAATAAAGAATATACATGCCAAGTATCTCTAGACTCAAGGTTAACCCAGGGCTTGTCAAGACCTCAGGGGTCATTGATTTTGTGATTATATCAATTAAAGTGATCCTGTAATTGGACCAATAATGACTTAAATCAAAGGCAGAAGAGGTAAAACCTTAGGATTCTAGTGATCTAGTATCTACTAATACTACATTTGACTGTTAGGAACTTGGCACACTGCTTTGCACTTAGGTGTGCAATAAAAATTTGTTGAAGAATAGTGCTGTCCTGGTACCATGTTTTACCTATCATGGCTTTTAATGGGTTTAGCACCATTTTTAGTCAGGTTAGAAAATCACATCAAACTCTATTAAATTCAGTAAAATTACACTGATATAGTAATACAATTTTCATGAAGATCCTACTCTAACGCCTCATAAAATAGATATTTAACATGATGTATCCATTTTCCAGTATTATTTTTATAATATGCAGGGACAGCTAGGTGGCGCAGTGGATAGAGCACTGGCCCTGGATTCAGGAAGGACCTGAGTTCAAATCCAGCCTCAGACACATAACACTCACTAGCTGTGTGACCCTGGGCAAGTCACTTAACCCCATTGCCTAGCAAAAAAAAACCAAAAACAAACAAAATATAATATCCTTCATATATGTTACATCACAATCACTTGTAAAAATAAATCATTATTTTTGTCAATTGTGAATTTATATTAGGAAAAAAAAAAGAACTAGTATGCCCTGACTGCTCCCATCTTATCCAACCCAATTCCATCTGATTATTCACCTATAATGCTATTCCTCTACAGAGGTTATGAGGATAATGGTAATAGAGAATGGAGGTATAGGTAAGAATGGATGTGTGTCAACCACTACAGTCTCTTGGTCTAGGGCTCAAGGCCTGGAGTGAAGTCAAACCCCAAATGCTTTTCTGTGTTCTTCAACCAAACTACAGGGCCAGCCCTAGCTGGCTGGTTGTGATTGTCTCCCTTCAACTGTTAAGTTAGTCATATATATCGTATCTTATTTTATCAGTTCTAGTAAAAAGCCCTGGCTAAGTGACCTGCTGCTACTGATATTAAGTTAGTAACCCTATTCACTGATAAATAAATTGGGACAGTGTGGGCCTTCTTGTTCTCAATCCCAACTCCAAATTTCTAGTTCTTGGCTCTCTAGCCATGTCATTTATCATCACTGGCAATCCTCTGTTGGGAAAGCCAGGCAGCAACTGGTTTCTTTACTTTGTAAGTCTGGCCAGAGTAGGAAGAAGGAATGTCATCAGGAAGAGAGGAATGGATGGCATTCAACTGTAGAGCAATCTTTTCTCATAAAAACCAGAACATTCATTTTCTCCAATCTAAAGATTTGTGAGTGTATACAGAGTCCATTTTTAATGACTAGGAGTGCGCTATTCATAGAACTTCATTATGTTGCTGACTCTCTCACTGCACTCTCCTACTAAATTTGGTCCTTCAGTAAGGAAGATAATGGGAGGAAGAAAAGATGAAACAAATAAATAAATTTAGGAAATTAGAAAGAAATGCTTAAAAGTAATGGTTGAAGTTAAATTTTGGTCATTTAAAAATCTTCTTTAGCACAAATAATTGAGAGTTGGCTATATATAAAAATTTTTAAGCAATAGTTTAGTGATAAAATAGTGCTACTTCATGTCCCTGTAGAGTCATCATTCACTTACGACGACAAGGTTGCATGACAGGGAAAAGAGCGTTACAGTAAGAGTTGGGAGATGCATATTATAATTGTGGCTTTGTTATTGCAAAGCAATAGAAACTTGGGCAAATCATTTAACTATGACGGGAATCAGTTTCCTAAAAAAATGAGTAGGAAAGGATAGACTCTTTGGGCTTTGGAGTTAAGCATCAAACAAAATAGAATTCACAGTTACACATGCTAACTTTACTGAATTATAGACAAGTGGTAAAGTAACTTAGAAAGCTACTTACATTCGAAGGTTTGAGTTTGTTAATGATGGTTGTTTTGCCACTGTTATCCAGCCCAAGGCACAGAACATGAATTTCCTTCTTCTTCAGGCCAAGCAAGCCTGACAGCTTGTCCAGCAATCCCATAATGATGATTCAAATTTTCACAAACCAGCTAAGATTGCACAAAAGAACACAAAACGATTATAAAAGGCACTCCACTGGGTACATATGTGGGTCAAGAATATGAAGAATGGAGAGACAATGGAAAAGGCAATGTCACTACAGTTTGTAATCAGTAAACAGAATATAAGCTGATTACAGCAAAGAAGTCTTGTCTGCAAAGCAGATTGACTGCTTATAAACCTGGGCACACAGGATAATGAATACCCTTGAAGTTTCTAGACAGGTTTCATTTCAGACATAGTATATGAGACAACAGCATGGATCAGATTCAGGACAATGCTGCTTTTAGGGTCTGTGATTTTAAATTATACATTTGAAGAGGGTATATTAGTCAACAATGACAACTATTAAAGGGTTAGGATTTAGAACCTATAAAATAGGATGACTGAAACATAATCATCACTTGAAAAAATGTTCAACCTCACTAATAACCAGAGATAAAAATTAAAACAAATTTGAGAAATTACCTCACCTCCATCAAGTTGTTAGAAATAATTAAAAACAACAAAACACAATTCTAGTGGGATTGTGGATAAAGAAGTATGTTCACACATTGATGGTAGACCCTCAAATGGGTAGCTTTTTAAAATACGGCAATATACAATGAAAGCTGCAAAAAAATAATATCTTTGGTATCAATTTTATTTTTGGGAATATACTCTGAGAATTTAATCAACAACAAACAACAAACTCTGTTTAAAGATTCTTATGGCAGCATTTTTTTCAACTGTGAAAACAAAAATTTAAATAAAACTGGAAGCAAGCTAAACATTAAATGAGGGAACTGAATGTAAAAATTATGGAGAAATCTTTATGAAATAATGTATGGTGAAACAAACAGATCTAAAGGAACAAAGCACACTCTGACCACATAAAAGGAAACAAGAATAAGCAAGAATGGACACACACATAAAGGATTACAATGAATACTTATAAAGAGTAAATGAAAAGTCCTAACATTATTTTACAAATTGAAATTCACTGCACAAAGAGTTCTAAGGCAATTTAGGGTTATATCGATATTTAATAGGATAATAAGTCACTTACAAAACAGATTTAATTAGTCTAAAAAGCAAAGGGCAGGGGAGTGAATTAACCTTTTGTTTATCAGATAGTATCAGATATTTTTCACTTTACTTTACTGAAAACCAAAGTAAATAAAACAGGTTTAGGTTAGATATAAGGGGAAATATCCTGCCTAGAATTGTTAGCAAATTTTTACCAAGAGATGAAGACCATGTAATTTCTTTCCATTTGGGGGTATTAAAGTACAAGATACTTAGATGTATTCATTTCGGATAATTTAGATATAGTTCAGTATACTAGGTCATGTTTCTTCACTATGCACATGCTATTCAAGTTTCTTCTTTCAAGTCAGAGAAAGATAAAAGTGTATGATGAAAAAGGATCATTCAATTATATTTCAAATTCCAAATTTGGCTAAATTTCTTATAGTATAATAATATCCCTTCATATTCATATACTATACCATAACTTGCCTATCTATTCCACAATTGATGGTGGGCACTCCATCAGATTTCTGTTGTTACTTCATAAAGAATTACAGGTATTTTAAAATATCCTTAGTGTGTGTATTGCTTAGGACTAATTTCTCCCTATTCTCGCTCTAATTCCCTCTCCTCCTTCTCCTCTTTCCCTCAAATTTCCCTGTTGATTGAAATGTAGTTCTCTACCCAATTGTGTGTATGCAAGTACATGTATTCTTCCCCTTTGACTAGTTCAGATGAGAATGAGGTTCAAGTGTTAACTGCACCCCCAACTGCTTCCCTTTTTGTATAGACTTCTAACTACACATCTCAATTTTGTGAAATAATTTTTCCTAGCTTTTCCTCCTCTTCACTTTCTCTTGTGTATTCCTCTTCCTCTCTCTTACCATTCTTTTTTTAAGATCATCAGGCATGAGACACAAAAGAACCACTTCCAGAATTTCTGTCCAATTAGACTTTCTCTATCACTACTGTTGAAGATAGTATTCAAAGTTGTGTTAAGTTGTTTCTCAGTCAAGTCCAACTCATTGTGACCCCATATGGGGTTTTCTTGGCAGATACTGAAGTGCCATTTCTTTCTCCTGCTCATTTTACAGATGAGGAAACTGAGGCAATCAGGATTAAGTGGCTTTCCCAAGGTCACACAGCTAATTAGTGTCTGAGGCCAGATTTAAACTCAGGAAGATGAGTCTTCCTGAGGGTTACGTGACTTGCCCAGGGTCACAACAGTTAATAAGTGTCTGAGGCCAGTTTTGAACTCAGGAAGAGGAGCCTTCCTGACTCTTGGGCTGGTGCTCTATCCACTGTACCACCTAGCTGCCCCAGGGTTCAAAAGGGATACATACATCATCTCTCCATTTTAGAATGTAAGCAGTTTATCCCTGTTAAATCCCTTATAATTTTTCATTTGTGTTTACTTTTTTATGTTTCTCTTAATTCCTTTGTGTTTGAACTTCAAAGTTTCTATTCAGCTCTAGTCTTTTTGTCAGGAATATTAGAAAGTCCTCTTTTTCATTAAAGGTCCATTTCCTTCGATATTATATTCAGTTTTGCTGGGTAAAATTATATCGTCTACCTTTTAGAATATTGTATTCTAAACTCTTCACCACTTTAAAGGGTGGCTGCTAAATCATGGTCGATTTTGACTGTCTTTATATTTGAATTCTTTCTGACTGCTTGCAGTATTTTTTTGTTGACCTGGAAGCTCTAGATTTTAGCTATATCCCTAAGGTTTCTTTTAGAAGGTGACTGGTAGATTCTTTCTATTTCCACTTTGCCCTTTGGTTCTAAGAGTCCTGGACAATTTTCTTTTAAGATTTCTTGATACATGATGTTTACGCTCTTTATTTTGGTTTTGGCAATATAGTTCAATGAATCTTACATTATTTTTTTTTCTCATTGATCTGTATTTCAAGTCAGTTGCTTCTGCTATGAGATACCTTACATTTTGTTCTAATGTTTCAGTCTTTTGACTTTGGTGTATTCTTTGTTGTCTAATTGGTTTCTCCTTGATCCATTCTCATTTTCAGGGAGTATGCTGCTTTGGCAAGGTTTTATACCTTTTGTACTAAATTGTTAATTCACTTTCCAATTCTTTTTTCCATAGCTCTCATTTCTTTCCCAGTTTTTCCTCTAAAAACTCAGAATCTTTCTGAAATGATGGCATTAGATTTCATTTAATTTATAAAAACATTAACTTTTTTTTTTTTTTAAAAAAAAGACTCTTGCTTCATTTCTTCTAAGAATTCTAATTGAATTTGTGCCCAAGTTGTATTTTTCTTTGAGGCTTTGCTTGTAGATGTTTTGGAGTCATTCTTTTCTTTTGGGTTTGTGTATTCAGTGTCCCTGTCACCATAATAGTCTTTTATGACAGGATTTTTTTTTTTTTTGCTCATTCTTCCAGCCTACATTCTGACTTCAGATTTCATATGAGGGCCAGGTTCTGCACACTATCATTGGGAAAGTCTGGACTTTATTAAGTTATAAGAGTGTGGCTCTCTTGAGACTAGTGAGAATTGTGTTATTTTAGACTCTTAAATTTCAGTGCCCTCAAAGTGCAAGGTAAAGTCTGATTGTTACCCCATCCTCCACCCCCTTTTGAACTCCTATTTTCTGATTTGAATCTGAGTATGAGCAACAATTCGCTGCTGCTGCACTTAGTCACCATCAGCCAGCAGGAAAGCTCTGCTAGTTCAGTGACAGAACTGGAGGCTTCTTTAAAGTCTAGGATTCCTACCCTGGTTATTCCTCTATAGGCTTCAAACTGTATTAGAAGGTAGCATTGACACTCTTCTCTGGCCACAGGTTCCTTCCTCAGGCTACTCTAGATTTGTGACCCAGAACTGGTACTGGGCAACAAACCTGTTCCCAGATCACTATATGAGGTCACTACTTGGTATAGGTGTGAGGGTCACTTCTTTGACTTTAGACATAGTCCCTGTGCACTGAAGTGCTCAGAAGAACCCACTCCTGGCCAGACTTTGACACCAGTGTCCACAAATATCTCTGTTGACCTGGGCTGAACAAATGACTCACTGTGATTTTTTCTTGGATTTCCCAATGTGATTTGGCTGATGCATTTTCTAGATCATTTTGGAGGAGTCTGGCAAAGAAGCTCACTGTACTCTTTCCTGCTAGTCTGCCTTCTTGGTTCTACCTCAGAAGTAATCTCTGCCTGTATTTAGCATGAAAACTGCCATGCAGAGGCGGCCAAAAGAGCCTAGAAACAGTCTCAGCCAGCAAACATTTAATCTTCTAAGAACAATATAGATTTACAAATATAAACCATTTTAATTTTTAAAATAAAATTTTATTGGTATATTTTTTTACATCACTTATATTGCCCCATTGTATGTCTCTTAGACCCCTTCCCAGAAACCCATCTCTTATAATAATGAAAAAGAGAAAGAAGGAAAAAAAATGCTCCACAAAATTAATCAACATATAAGAAAAGTCTGATACTCTTATGTAGTCTATAAGCCATTTCTTGATCCTGTTATATTTCTGAAAATTATATTTATAATCCTTCTCTATGACCACTTTTACACAGAAGTCATTGAAAATTAAAGTATGTGTTGATTTAATTTGGGTGCTCCTATCCAATTCTTTGGAGAATTTTCTCATCCTCTGCCACAGATTTTGGCACATAAACTTTTCTCCATGGTAATCTTTTTTATGATGATTACTGCAAAATGAAATGATCACATAAACCATGAAATTATATCTTTTTGCCTTTTGATACATAACAAAACCAACCTCACTAATTCCTTTATTTGACTTTCCAAAGAGAACTTGAAGCCTTCTTTCTAATTAAGTACCATAATTTTTATGTTCTGATTTCATTTGTAGCATTGGTTTTAAATATTTTTTTGTATCATAGACCTTTCTAGTAATCTGGTGAAGCCTATGTACTCCTTCTCAGCATAATTTTTTAAATGCATAAAATAAAATATATAAGATTACAAAGGAAATGAATCATATTGAAATATAATTCTCAAAATATATCTTTTTAAAAGTTCATGACCTAAATTAATTTACTTATTCAGTGTCATACCAATTGAACTACCAAAAATTATTTCATAGAGCTAGAAAAAATAATAACAAAATTCATCTGGAAGAACAAAATGTCCAGAATATCAAAGGAATTAATGAAAAGAAATGCAAGGGAAGGTGGACTAGTTGTACAAGATCTTAAATTGTATTATAAAGCAGTAATCATCAAAACTACTTGGTACTGGCTAAGAAATAGAGTGGTGGATCAGTGGAATAGGTTAGGTATGCAAGACACAGTAGTCAATGACTATAGTAATCTACTCTTTGATAAACCCAAAGACTCCAGCTTCTGGGATAAGAACTCACTATTTGACAAAAACTGCTGGGAAAACTGGAAAATAGTATGGCAGAAACTAGGCACAGACCAACATTTTACACTCTATACCAAGATAAAGTCAAAATGGGTACATGATTTAGATATAAAGGCTGATACTATAAGCAAACTGAGAGAGCAAGGAATAGTTTGCCTGTAAGATTTATGGAGATCCGAAGAATTTATGACCAAACAAGAGATAGAGAACATTATGAAATGCAAAATGGATGATTTTGATCACATTAAATTGAAAAGTTTTCACACAAACAAAGCCAATGCAACCAAGATTAGAAGGGAAGCAGAAAACTGGGAAAAAATTTTTATAGTCAGTGTCTCTGATAAAGGCCTCATTTCTAAAATACATAGAGAACTGAGTCAAATTTATAAGAATACAAATCATTCCCCAATTGATAAATGGTCAAAGGATATGAACAGGCAGTTTTCAGAAGAAGAAATTAAAGCTACGTGAAAAAGTCACATGAAAAAATGATCTAAATCACTATTGATCAGAGATATGCAAATTGAAACAACTCTGAAGTACCATATCATACCTATCAGATTGGCTAACATGGCAAAACAGGAAAATGATAAATGTTGGAGAAGATGTGGGAAGATTGGAACATTTGCATTGTTGGTGGAGTTGTGAAATGATCCAACCATTTTGGAGAGCAATTTGGAAATATGCCCAAAGGTCTGTAAAACTATGCATACCCTTTCACCCAGCAATACCACTTCTAGGTCTGAATCCCAAAAAGATCATACAAATGGGAAAAGTACCCACATGTACAAAAATATTTATAGCAGCTCTTTTTGTAGTGGCCAAGAATTGGAAATTGAGAAGATGCCCATCAATTAGGGAATGGATGAACAAGTTGTGGTATATGAATGTAATGGAATACTACTGTTCCATAAGAAAAGATGAGCAGGTGGTCTTCATAAAAACCTGGAAAGACTTATATGAACTGATGCTGAGTGAAGTGAGCAGAGCCAGGAAAACATTGGACATAGTAACAGCATCATTGTGCAATGACTAACTTTCATATACTTGGTTTTTCTCAACAATGCAAGGATCTAAGACAACTCCAAAAGACTCATAATGGAAAATGTTGCCCATATCCAAAGAAAGAACTATGGAATCTGAATATAGATTGAAGCATACTATTTGATTTCTTTTTTCTTTTGTTGTTTTGTTGTTTCTTCTTTCTCAGGGTTCCTCCCATTGGTTCTAACACTTCTTTACAACATGACTAATATGAAAATATGTTTAATATGAATTTATACAGGATATGGGGAGGAGGGAACGGAGGAAGGGGGAAAAATTTGAAAACTCAAAAGCTCATGGAAGTGAATACTGAAAACTAAAAATAAATAAATAATTTTATTAAAAGTTCATGGACTTTTAAGAACCCCTGACATATCAATAATAATAATAATAACAAAACAACAACAATAATAATAATAATAATAATAATAAAAGGAGTAAGGTTTTTTTATTTTAGCAATAGTAGGTTAATTTATTGGCTACCATGTAAGGAAATCACATTTAAGGTATAAACAGTTAAACTGAATGCTCATTTACAGTATACAAATAAATCAGGGGCAGCTAGGTGGCACAGTGCATAGAGCTCCAGCCTTGGAGTCAGGAGGATCTGAGTTCAAATCCAGCCTCAGACACTTAACACTTACTAGCTATGTGACCGTGGGCAAGTCACTTAACCCCAATTGCCTCACCAAAAAAAATCAATCAATCAATAAATCACTGCATAAGTGGAAAGGGGAAACACAAGATAGGGACATTTCATTTTGTGTTTTTCTTAGTTTTTTCTTTTCATTTCCTAAGTTGTCAGAGCAAAAAGAAAAAAAAATCATCTCTTACTGGCCTGATAATGAACCTGTCTATACTTGGCTAGCCTAACTATATGAATTCAACTATAGAACTCTCTGCAGAAATAAAAGTAGACATGAATAATTGGAGAAACATAAGTTGCCCATGGGCGGGTCTAGCCAATATAATAAAAATGATAACATTACCTAAATTGATTTATTTGTCAAGTACAGTACCAATCAAGCTACCAAAGACTATTTTGTAGAGCTAGAAAAACTAATAAAATTCATAAGGAAGGAAAAAAAAAGGCCAAGCATCTCAAAAGTATTAATTTTAAAAAAATGGTAAGGAAGGAGGTCTATCAGTACCAAATCTCAAACTATTCTACAAAGCAGTAATCATTAGTCAGTTAATAAATACGTATTAAATGCATGTGTTCCTGGCACTATTTTAAACGCTGGGGATACAAAGAAATGTAAAAGACAATCTTAAGGAGCTCATAGTCTAACGAGAGAGAAAATATGCAAACTATGTATACAAATAAATTATATACAGGGGTGTAAAGTGAAAGAAAACTGGAAAGGTGGTGGGGAGGGCAAGTTATGAACACAAACAGAGGATTTTCTATTTGATCTTGGAGGTGATAGGAAGCTACTGAAGTTTACCGAGTAGAGGCATGGCATGGTTAGACCTTTGCTATAGGACCATCACTTTGACAGCTGAGTGGAGGATGGTCTGTAGTAGTATAATAGAAATACGACTTTTCTGATTACCTGAATTAGCCTCAGCTAATCAGTCATAACCTGATAAGCCTCAGCTTCCCTGATGTAGCTTCCTAGTTTGGGGCCCCTGACGTGAAGAATCTGAGCTACTCTAACTTCTTGGGTTCCTGAGACTGATTGTTGGCATATCCTGCAGTGAAAGATGCTCCCAGAGGTCCAAAAGGAGGGAGTTGTCATATCCTGATTACTTACAGACCAGACACATGTCCAGATGGAGATGTGGGGGGACCATCAAGCATCCTAGAAAACATAGGGGCCACTGTATCTTTGTTGCATATTCTTATTGTTAGGGCAAAGTAGATGTTCTTTGTTAAATGGTCAGTGCCTTGTGAATGCCTCATTTCTTTCCAACAACAAATTTGAACTATAAGAGAGTGCTGGCCATGGGGCTATCCCTCCAACAAGCAGGGAAGGACTAGTGGCAGGCAGTTCCACTGAGGTGATGAAGACCTGCATCACAGTAGTGGCGGTGTCGGAGGAGAGAAGCGAATGAATTTTAGATGCTATGAAGATGAAATCAATAGACCTTGGCAACAGGTTGCATTCTGGGGGAAAGACTGAGAAGTCCAGAGGGACATTCCCAGTCACAAGCTTGGATGACTGGGAAGGATGGGTGGAGTAACAGCCGGAACAAAGAGGAGGAAGAAAAGGGGGAGGAAGACGAAGAGGAAGAGAAGAAGAGAAAGAGGAGAAAAAAGAGGAGGAAGAAAGGAAGAAGAGGAAGGAGGAGGAAGGGAGGGAGGGGAAAAGGAGAGAAAGAAGAGAAAGAAGGAAAGGAAGAAGAAGAGAAGAGGAGGGAGAGGAAGAAAAGGAAGAAGAGAAGAAGGAGAGGAGGAGACAAGGAAGAAGAGAAGGAGGAGGAGAAGAGGAGAAAAGGAGGAGGCGACGGGGGAGCAGACCCCCTCCTGGCCGACTCGCCCCTTTACTCACCCGCGATTCACCACCGGGGGAGCGGGGCGGGAACCTTGCGCGTCTCTGGTTGGGACACGAGGGACCCCTCCTCAGCTCTCAGATCCTGTCCGATCCCATCTAAGAGGACTTGCCCAGAGGCCTGAGGGATTCATCCACTCAAGTCAAGAGGGTCGGGAAAACCGAAGCGCCCACAGAATCTACAGGGAGCTAGCAGAGGAGCTTGCGGCATCGTAGGCGTCCCCTAGGCAACCGTGGCCCCTTCCGGCCCCGAGGCCCCGCCCTCACCAGGCTCTTCCTTTCTCCTTCCTCTTACAGAACGCGGAAATTGGATCTGAGATTTGGTGGGGAAGGTCGGGCCCCCCTGGGGGCGTGGTTGGCGGGTTGGGCAGTAAGGAGGGAGTGCGCATGCCTGGCTAATGAAGCTTGCCTGGAAGTGGCTAATACGGGGAGATGAGGTAGGGGTAGGGAATGACTGCGGCAGCCTCACAGATTCACGGGAAATGTAGTCCTTTTCCTTGCTCCTACCTAGGTCGTTTCGGCCCTCTGGGAGCATCTCTCACTGCAGTGATTTCTCCCCACTCCCTGTTAGCCCCTCCCAAAGCTAGATACTTTTGTGGGGAGCTGGCGCGGAGTTTGTGTGGGCTCCCTCCTGTAGGGACTGACATTGAATAGGGGGTTGGTGCTTTTTCTACCTTAATGCCGCTCCTCCGAGGACGGGGCTGGGGCACAGAGCAAGCGCTCTGAGCAATGGTAGCTGCTGGCTGCAGGGGGCAGTTTGCAGTTTTAACTTTGCATCTTCCTTTTACTCCCGGTTGGAGCGGGGGCACGGATCGAGTCCCCTGATTTTTGTTTTAAGGACAAAGGAGCTGCCACCGGAGTGCCCAGACTCTCCTAGCTCTTCTCTCCTCTTGGGGGAAATGGGAACAGGACCTCTTTTGGCTCAGGATCCCGAAGTTCTGGAGCAGAAATAGTAATCAACATAGATGATCTTTATGTAAAATGTGTCAAGTACTTTGCTTGACCCCTACCCACTGTTTGGGAAACAGATCCCCATGAATTCCTAGGGCAAGGATTGAGAAATTATTGATTTGGTGATTCAAATAGTGTGTGTGAGAGACATAAATGCCTTTAAAATATAAAGGAAATGTTTGGCACTTACTTTTTTTTCTTCATTCCTTTCTTTGGGATGGCTGCTTCCTCCTGATTGCCGAACCACAGGTAGTTCCTTGTGACCTTGAACTGTTCAATTGCTTTCTCATACGGTGCCACGTATCCCTTAATCATTAAATCCAAAGACTTTTTTCCTGTCTTCATCTTTCTTCATCCTTTTTGACTCTTCTGTCTGTTTTAATATGACTGAGCACTCCTTTCTGTAGACTCCCTTGACTTTTGTGACACTATTCTAGCCTACATCTCCTAATGTTTATAATCCATCCTTATGCAAGATTCCTTCCCTCTCCCCTACGTGCTGTTCTGTTATTAACACTTTGTTCTTAGCGATCTCGTCTGTTCTATGTATCCCTCTGCAATTTATAATTTTAGAGAGTTGCCTTGGGACACTGAGTGTTTACCTAAGATGACACAGCTAGTATTTATTAGACAGGGCTTGAAACCAGATCTTCCTGACTCTGAAGCCAACTTTCTATTCACTGCCATGCCCTCTCACACCTCTGTGCAAATGACTCCCAAATCTATAAAAGCCACCCTAATCGCTCCTCTAAACTCTAGTCTCATATTGCCAACTTCCTGCTAAACATCATTTAGATGTCTAGGCTCTTTTTTTGATCATGGCTTTCAGATAGTCCAGTAATTTTAAAATTATCTCTCCTGGATCTATTTTCCAGCACCCAATGCTGAACTGTGTTCCTCTCCCAGACATACCTTTCGATCAACCATCCAGGTTGTCTTGGGCTGGAAATTTGTTTCACTCTGTCTTTTTGTGGGTTCTGCTGCTTTAGAATTTGTTTAGAGCCATTTTTTACAGGTGTTTGGAGGGGAGCTCAAGCAAGTCACTGCTTTTACACTGCCATCTTGGCTGCTGATCAGAAGGGTTTTTTTTGTTTTTTTAGGCAATTGGGGTTAAGTGACTTGCCCAGGGTCACACAGCTAGTAAGTGTCAAGTGTTTGGTCTGAGGCTGGATTTGAACTCAGGTCCTCCTGACTTCAGGGTCGGTGCTCTATCCACTGCCATCTAGCTGCCCCATGATCAGAAGGGTTTTAAAGAGTAAGTTGTTTCCACACTGAAGCAGGAAATAAAGCAAGATCAGAAGATCCTCAGTAAAGCTGAAATCATTGACCATCCACAGCCACAACTGGCTTTCCAAGAGCAGAAGGCTTATATGATTTGCCCAAATTCTGAGAGGTAGTAAATGATACAGCAATACCTGAACCCAACCCTTCTGTCACCAAATTCTTCCACAAAAATAGTGTAATTTCTTTCAGTTTAAAAATCAACAAATGATCCCCACCAAATGACTTCAACATATTACTATAGTTTCTTTGGCACTACTTTCAACCTTACTTTGATACTGGTATCTGCCCTTCCTTCTGTCTAAATGATAATTCATTTCTGACCTTTATCCCATGGTTGCATTCCACCTTGTTCTATTTCTATATTACACAAACTCACCTTTTCCACATCTCTGGGCCTATTAGTCCATTTTGTTTGACCTCATACTCACCTCTTCACTACAACATAGAAAGCATATCTTTTCTTAATGATTCGGATGACTCTTGGACAAATGATACCACCAAAGGGATTTCAGTATGCACCTCCCTTTTTCCCAATGCCCAGCTTTTGGAATTGTGGAGGAATTCCAGTATTCTTCACTGTGGGACCAATTCTCAGAGAGTCAGAAGATGAATTAAAAATGATTATGGAAGGTATTTTTGGACAGAGTTTCTTCCTATTGTCCATTTATAAACTTCTGAAGTTTCTAAGATTCCTTTATTTTCTATAGAAGTTTTCATAGCATTTGAGGGCTCTAAACATGGATGAGCATAAATAGGGCAGGGAGTATGGTGACTCTAAATGGGAAATTAACTTTAATTATGCTTCCCTCTGCAAGGAAATTTTTCTTGGTATTTAACTTATCTCCTTCATGCTACATTGCTCTGAATATGTGCTTCAATTTTTGAAGAACTTGCCCTTAATTGACTTCCTCATGAATTTTTAATCTTTTTTAAAAATTTCATTAAAAAAAAAACACATGGCATATCACATTGGTGTGATAGACTATTGTAAGAAGCCACCTGGCTCAAACCCAGCTTATACTTGTCCTTGGTGCTAAAGTTTAGTTTCGAAACTAAGCAATTCTAAGAGCAGAACCAATATAGTTGCAGTGTTTGATGTGTGTGCCCTTCACTGCTATTATTGGTGAAGGGCACTTGCCAAAAGTAGGATGGTTGATGCTTAGTTAAGGATTAAGTGACTTGTCTTTTTCAGGGAAACCCAATTCACTCTGGCTCTCATTGATTGGCTAACAATAAGTGCCCAAGCACCACTTAATGGTTATTTTTTGGGCCCTGATGGATCAGAGTGAATGTAACATGAGGCCAACAGTCCTGAAGGTCTTCCCCTCCCACTTTGATTTTTTTTTCAAATTAAAGGGGCCATGCCTTGACTTACCTCTTAAACCAGCCTAATCACTGAATGGGCATTGCCTCACTCAAAGTGAGAACTTGGAAAGACCTTAGCTTAAAAAGGCCAAAGTCTCCCACTGTATCCTGGGCCATCTCCAGTTCTGATATATATCTGGCCACTGGACCCAGATGATTCTGTAGGAGAAAGTGAGACTGATAACTTTGCACAGCCTCCCCTCACTTAAATCCAATTCAATTGAAAGTAATGGCATCATCTTCTTGATGTCACAATCCTCTTCTGAGAACAAAGGACAAACCACAACTTGTGAGTAGTCTGAGCTGCCCCAAATGGGGACCTAGCTGGCCCGTTCCAGTCTGGCAGCTCAGCTCCTCCTCTATTATGCTGTAAGGGATGATGAAGGGGATAGTTTTAGAAAAACCTTTGAAGATTTATATGACCTGATGCAAAGTGAAGTGAGCAAAAGCAGGAAACAATTTGTACAATAGCAATGATACCGTAAAGACTTAGGAACTTTGATCAACACAATGGAACCAGAGGATTCATGGTGATATACGCTATCCATCTCCAGATAGAAAGGTGATAGACTCATTGTGTATATTAAAGCATATTTTTTGAACATTGCTAATGCAGGAATTTGTTTTGCTTAATTACATGTATTTGTTATAGTTTTCGTTTTTCCTTTTTCAGTGAATGGTGGAAGGAGAGGTGAGAGGGAGAGAATTCAGAACTGAAAATAAAATATTAAAAAAATACGAAAGGTCTAGATAAAGTCTTTCCCTTCCCTCTAGTATGCAGTGTAGACCCAATTTGGAGAATTTATGGGAGAATATGCATGAAAGTTTCATGGGCTAAGAAGGCATGGATGACTATGGTCTGTGTTATTGGAAGCAGTACCAACACTGAAGAAATCACAGATCTATTTGAGTAATGAGGTACTCCTGGTGCCTATCACAGACTATTATATAGGTGCCTAATAAATGGATTTATTTGTTTAAATTGTAACCAGTATTCTTTCTACCTCTTCACCTTTATTTGGATATCCTATTGAGGACTCCACTTCTTATATCCCATTCTACTAATGGCAACTTCTCCTATTCCTCTCAAATTACAGAGCCAGGAAAAGGTATGAGCATACTTCTTGTTTCCCTCTCCCACTTCTATGCTGTTCTTCTATCAGCATTCCTCAGTGGCCTTGCTTCTTTTGTAATCCATCCCATCCCCTGACATAAACATTAGGAAATTCAGTATTCATGTTCACAAAACCTTTAACAAACTGACCTCTCAATTCTTTAAATTCATCATTAAATTCATCAACTTAATTTTCTTTTCTACCTTGCTTTAGCCACATACCTGCATATTAATGTTTTAAATCTCACTCTTTTGAAATTGTACCACCTTTAAAATTAAATTTTTTTTTAAAAAATTCTATTCTGTAACCATAGAATTCTATTTTTCTCCTTCTAATCACATTCACAGTAAACTGGAGGTAGCAAGATGCGGTAAAAAAAAAAAAAGAGCATTGGATTTGGAGTCAGAGAATCTGGGATTCATATCATAGCTCTACCAGTGTAAATTTGTATGACCTTGGGCAAGGTGCTTAACTATTTATAGGCCTTAGTTTCCTCATCTGTAAGTGATGGGGTTGGGTTAAATGAACTTTAAGATAATTTCCCGCTCTAAATCTATTTCCTATGATCCTACTGTTTGCTCTTATTGTGAT